TTAGGGTGGATCTTATCTGCAAACAACTAACTTGCCTGTTTGGATTTTAGAGTAAATATAACATTTTTACTGTTATAAATACTTATTTCAAGGTTTGGAAATGCAATTGAAAAATATATAGATGTGATTTTAAAAATCAGTACAATAAAAAAAACTAACTATAATTTTAGTTTCACAATGAAGTGAGTTTTGCGAATGATACTTTAGTTAAATCATTCATAGAACATATTTTGACAAAATTAATCAGGTTCTTATTAATGATATAATTTGAATACCAGAAATGCTCTGTTTAGTTTCCTTGATAGAACATTCACCATTGTTTATTATAAATACTATTATATTTGCATCTTAACCACCAGGAACGTTGCTTTGACTTGGTAATATTAAGGATATTATAAACCACATATACATATGTATTTCTCTCAGGCTGAATTTTGATCCGAACCCTTTGTTGTTGATTATGGCAGCTGGGCATCCCCCTCCCCCATTCAACAAATGTCTTCAATTGCACTTTAGTTAGATCGTCATAAACGTGTGTAAACGACATTCAACCCCTGCCCTGGAAATCTTCATGTTTCAAAACTGAATACTGTAAACATGTAGGAGTTTTGTAATTAAATAAAAGACAACAACTACCCACTACCCACGGTAATGGGAGGGAGCCTTTTTCTTTACTCCAGCTGCTGATCAGTTTGCTAAAACCAAGTTTCTGTTATGTCAAATTGCATAAAACACTCTTCTTGTTTGAATTCAAATGAAAAACCACGGATTTGACTCAAGGCACAACATCAGCAATCAAAGCTATAGCGTTTATTTAAAGAGTACCAGAAGCACTTGTTTACAGGTTGTTAGTTTGACATGTCAGTCAGCCTGCTGATTCCACGTCATTTAGGGTTTTTAAGGTCATTTTCTTCACCTCTCTTTTAGTCCGTCATTGAGGACAGTCAGACAAACCTGAGTTATTATGACGAGAGAAGCTCTCATTACAGCTATTAATGCACATCAGATAAAAAAATACAGACTTCATACCCCAGATCCAAATACAATTTTTTTCCCAGCCTCTTTTTGAGTATACTTCTGAGAAACCTTACAGAAAACTGGGAGCCAGAGCAACATAAAAAAAAGACAGACAACATGTTAGTCATCCATCCAGTCTAATGAATAAACCTGTGTCTGCTGATTCTGCATGATAACCTCACCTCAAAAAAATCCCAAATGAAAGTCCATTCACTGACTTTTTGCAGAGATTTTAAACGTATCACAGAGTCTTCATCAATGTAGGAGCTGCTGCTCCATTTCAGTATAAGAACATGATGTTCACTGACCCATTACCCTCACATTGGTTTCTCCAATTTAACAATGGCTGAATCAACAAATGATATTGTGCAAAGTTCAGTCAGTTATCTTATGACCCATTTCACCTTTCAGTAATCCATTGTTAAAGAGTTAGAATAGTGTAATTAATGCTACAGATCTCTAACTCATTGATTTAACTCTCGGCCTTATCCCAGAAAAATGCATATTGTGTTATTTGTGTTACTTCTTATGAAGTTTAGTTAAACTCCATTAATCTGCTTGGCATTTAAATCTACACATTTTTCTTTCCAATTTAAAACAACAATGACAAGATTTTAAATCACTTCTAATGTTTAAAGCAATCCATTTTATTATCTATTTCAGAAAATGTGGTCTATTCTATTATTAATTTGTGGTTTTCTACTACTATAGGGACAACCAAACGGCCAACTGAACATAATATAATTTCATTGACATCCTAAGTGGGACCTCCACCGTTAATGATCGAAATGAAATGTCCTGCTGAGTATCACACCGCGCCATCAGCAGCACCGTAATGACCCTCATGATGGGACTGTCAACATTGACTTTTATCCTCTCATATGGACCCAAACTGCTGTAAAGACAAAGACAACGGGCCATCGAATGTTGTAAACAGATGAAACACCTGTTTGGGAATCACTTTGCATGACTTAATTAGCCTTAAGTCATGCAAAGTGATTCCCAGTTGCCAGTCGGTGCAATCGCAGCCTTACATCACATAGTCACAGAGGAGGCAGCAATCATTTAATGTGATAGTCAGTTGAAGGTTGTAAAAGGCTAATGCTCCTCTCTCCGTCATAGATGATTGACATTGGTATTGGTGGAGATGACCGGAAACATAAACGGACTTGATTGTCATGACAGAGTCAAGTCTGTGTGTGTGTGTGTGTGTGTGTGTGTGTGTGTGTGTGTGTGTGTGTGTGTGTGTGTGTGTGTGTGTGTGTGTGTGTGTATGTGTATGTGTGTGTGGTGATTGGGATGGGCCAGTAGGAGGGAGGAAGTGGAGAGATGCTGAGACTAATGAACTGAAAGGTGGACAGTATATAACACAAGGAGATGCAGGCATTGGACCAAGAAAGAAGGCTCAAGGCGAGATAAAGGAGCAGCTAAACAGACCGGACCCCTAAAGAGAAAATCTCCTCTGTCAGTTATCCAGCATGCGTGCTCTGGGGGTTTTGCCTCTGCTGTTGTGTGCAGCGGTGTGTGTGCTCCAGGTGAGAGCTGAGGTGAAGGCGGTGAAGCTGTGCGGACGAGAGTTCCTGAGGGCTGTCGTTTACACCTGCGGAGGCTCCCGTTGGAGGAGATTCCTCAGTGACTCAGACATGGACGGTGAGACAACCTCTTTTTTTCTCAAAACAAACAGTGTTAGTGGTTGGTGATGAAGACAAATCTAACATTTTAGTTTGGTTTAGACACAGACAAGGATGAATAAGGCAGAAAAACCTTTAACTTGTTGTTCTTCTGTGTAAATGTGGCCTTAAAAAGCTTCAGAAATGTTGAAGTCTGTGTTAAAATAATACCCTGCTGTCTATGAATATGGGGACAGGTTTTGCTAGCAGTAAGCATTTATGCTGATCATTATAGGGTCCTTTCGTCATACGCTTTAAATGGTAACGATAAGGGATAACATCTGCAATCCTCCCTCAATGCAAACATGTATTGAGCCATTTATCTGAATGTTTGAGGATACAGCTGTTTGAGTTACACACATTTAGCTAAAGTTAAAACTTCATTTCATTCATAGCTTTTTAAGTTGTGAATTTTACTGTGACTCTACTTCATACTGTATATACTGTAAATATCATCCTAATAATAATCTCTTATTTTGTAAGAGGCCTCTCGGTCTTTGAAAGTAACCAATAATATACTAAAATCAATGCAAAAAAAGGTAGTCATTGTAAGGAGCATGTACAATGTATAGCCTACTATTAATTCTGAGGCTGCCGAGCAGTGGGTGTGCAGACAGACAGGTGCCCCAGCGCAGAGACATCGCCTGCTGTTTTACCTTATTAGTGATGAGGATCCCACATATCATGATTAAATACACAGTGTGTTCCCCGGCAGCAGCCTCTATCTCTCTCCTTACTGCCTGTCACACACAAACCCCGTTAGCCTATCAGTCGTGCTGATTAGAAAGAGTAAAGTGACACTGGAGAAGACAAATGGCATGGAGCTAATCTGTGCAGTCATTTAGAGTTTCCTTATTTAATGGGAACATAGACCTTAATTACATAAGACTGATCTGAAAACAGTCCGACGTCTATCATTATGTTGTTAAGTGTGATACTTGGAAAACTGACATTTGCAGAGGATAAGTGTGAACCTGGTTATCAGGCTGCATTTCCACAATGTGTTTTACGTCAAGCTGTTTCTTTACCACCTGTTGTGTTTTGTAGTTCCAGGTTTGCCCACAGGGGAGCAGAGCAGCTTGGAGAGGCTGACCAGAAGCATCCCGGGCTCCGAGTTCTCCAGACGGGACATGAACAACGTGCTGACCAGCGTGTGCTGCCAGGTGGGCTGCAGGAAGAGCGACCTCACCTTCCTCTGCTGAGGCCAACCCCCCTCTCCTCTTTCTCTCCAAAGGACTCTGCTCTTTACCATCTCACCTTAGAAAATCAATCAAAGTACTGATGTATCAACAACATGATCACTGTATGTACAATAATGCTTATAGCCACTTTTTTTCTAATTGCTTATGATATTTTCTCTGAGATATTAGAACTTGTAAGGTTTGTGAATGTGGAGCAAATCTGTTAACATGTCTCTGAACCTGAGCTGGAAGATATGTGTAACCATAAAACAATATATTCATTAAAATATAATTGAAACTACTGTATGAGAATTAGGAAACTATGTTAAGGTTAGTGCACTCAGGGACTATATTACTTCCCCCTCAGAGAGGACAGATATTAAGTCTGGGTTTGTGTCCCGTATGTCACCAGGTTGCAGGTTTATAAAATGTCCATCTCTGCTTTAAATATATTGTAAGTAAACCTGCACTTTATTCTATCATTTCGCTTTTTGGTCAAATAAATGTTATTGCATGCTTACATTTTCATCTTTTTAAAATTGCAGTTTTGAGCACTACATACGACGAGTCAATATGATCGTCATAACATCAACATGTGACAGAAAATTCAAAATGGCAATGCTCACTTGGCAGTGTTAAGGCAGGATACTGTTTACCATTTTCAGCATCCTATGTTAGCACGCTTTGTTTACAACTAGCATTTAACACAAAGGCTGATGTGAATGTCAGTAGTTTTGCAGGTAATTGGTTCTAAACCAAAGGACTGGACAAATATCAATCTAAGTATCATGCATTTACCAGATATTGTGGGGATCCATCCACAGATCATTGATACAAGAGACGCTGTCGTACATCACCGGCAATTCCTTGGAACTACACGTCAGCACAATCATTGAGCTAATGTTTTCACTAGTGAACATTTTGACTTGCTGGTCAAGCTAAATACACATTCAGGGGATCACTTAAGTCAGCAGGACTTATCATGTAGGGACCATGAACCATAGACAAACTTTACAATCTAAACACAAGTTGTTCTGATATTTTAGTCTGGACTAAAGTTGTAAACAAAGCCGTCTCTAGGTGCTCCTATGTATTTTTGTATCTATCGAAATACAAAATAATACAATAGACATCCAGTTATATCTTTTATTGGTTTTGGAAAGAAGCAAACTAAGTTTCTCAGTTGATCTTAGCATTGTTATGTACTGTACAAACAGCTTGCACATGTGTTTGAGGTTAACGGTACAGAACCAAAAAGCATTCTGGCTTATAGCACACATAAACACACTCCCTGCTCTCTTCTCAACATTAATACAGGTAACCGACACTCAGCACAACACGTCATTTCAGTACTATCTATCATCATAGATGCCCCACCTTTCACTGCATGCTAGGCATGCAACAATGAATTACTGCAGGAAGAATTCACCACAGAGATGAAGAACTGGAAAAGACTGTTACAATTCTTTAACTAGATGAATTGTCTGGCAACCAACAGACAGAGTGAGAGTAGTACTGCAACACGACTTTCAAGTTGAAAGACATGTTGCTTGTCGTGTAGTGATTTTTGTAGTTTTAAAACAAATTCATGATGGGAGATGTGCGGTGGGTCTCTGTAGATAATGCTGTAGTGACTGTTGCACTGATGCTTCAAAATACACACAGATAGTTACAGCTTCCTGTCAGGCATGTGGATCCATCCAGTTCATTAGAGGAAGGACTGACATGACTGAGAGAAAAATGTTACTAACCCAATGTGGGAGCTAAATGGCACCAATCATCATCACCGTGCATCGATTGACTAAAATGCAACCAGAGAAAAATCTGAAAATACACAGTACTATTTTAGACCGAGTCCAAACAGGAATAAAACATTACATATTTTAACTGCACAGCCCAAAGGTGATGTTTTTATTAGCTAAAAAACTACATATATTTTAAAACTATGTCTGATTAAAGTACTCTATAATTTTAACGGAATATTGACATGTTGCTTATAGTCCTTTTTTCTAAATTCAGCCTAACATGCTTGTATGACGGCTCTGGAAGGACCATGATTGGTTGCATTTAGCAGGATGCCGACACACAGTACAGTACGGAGCTCTTCGGCTACACTTCACACACACTTTTTGTTCTTCGTGTTGAGTGTCAGAGCATTCAGGAAGTTCAACATCATCAACACAGTGTTTATTACACATTAAACAATATAATATTTTTAAATTTTTATCCGTTTTAAAAATATTCAGCTTATTCTCCTTAACAGAGGACTGACTGTCCGGGGTACACACACATAAAATATATAAAAAAAAGCATTTTGGTCAACTTAACCTCACACCACAACCTCATTCAACTCATGTCATCTCACAGAGACCATTACGAATATGCAAAATAAAGCCATGGATTTAAGCGCTGGTTGGATGATTGGGGTTTTGCTCATGATATAATCAGGAGTTCGGGTATCACTGAGGGGAATGGAAACAGGTCAGAACTGTGGTCAAAGTTAGGGAATAATTTAATAGGTAGATGTGGGAACTGTTGCATTTATACAAAACCATTTTCAGATGAATTTGGTTTAATACTAACAAGCTGGTCCCAGTTGACAAATCCTGTTCCAGAAGTGGCACCAGTCACCAAACCTCATCACTGCTCCAGACGAACACTCATTGCTTTTGTTATTATTGTCTCGACCATATAAAAAGGAAAAGTTCAACATTTGGGAAATATGAGAATGTTAAATGTTAAGCTGGAGCCATGAGACGATTAGCTTAGTTTGGTTTAGCATAAAGACTGGACAAAGGGAGAAACAGTTAGCTAGGCTCAAATGTAAACCACAGAGTCTACAGAGTTAGCTTGAGCTAAATGCTAACTCTCTCTTTCACACAATTACAATGCTAAACTGATGATGTTTAGCAGATATAATATTTACCGGCAGTTTCCCCTTTTTAGTTTAGCATGTTAACATGCTAACATTAGCAAAGTTGCCCACATTACAAAGTTCAGCTGCAAGGCTGACGGAAATGCCATTAGCTTTTTCATAAACCAAAAATAATGGACCAGTAGTACTTCACCAAATTTAAGAAATGTCTAAAGTCAACATATTTAACATGTTTTTACCTTGTTAAACCTGTTAAATCGCTTCTTTATGCTAAGCTTAACGTCACCTAGCTCCAGTCTCATGTTGAACAAACAAACATAAGTGGTATAGATCATCTTTTATAACTCTCGAAAAAGAAAGCAAGTATTTCCCCAAATGTCAAATTCATTGTTTAAAGGGTGGACCTCGCTAATGGGATAACTCTACATTAACACTGCTTTCACAAAGCATAACACAGCATCCAGGAAGATATTTATATTTTTCTTTAAATTACCCCCCCTCACCCATATATAGCTCAAATCTTCTGTTGCACTTGAGTTAAAAAATTATATCTGAAATCAATTCAAAAATGATACCTTATACTGTACACAGGTTACCCAACTACACAGATAACAAACAAAAGAGAAATATTTATACCTTTAAAGGTTCTGAGTCGTGTGATACCATTCAACTTCTATTCTTATACAGAATCACATGTTTTATACAACAAATCATCGTCATCAATAAATAAAAATAGAATGCTGTCATGTACTCTGGAGTCTATCACTGCTGCCCTGGGAACAACAGAAAGGCTATCGGACAATACGAGGAGAACACCAAACGCCCTTTAAGATATATATTATTGATTTAAAATGACACTTTATACACATCTTTTTTTCTGACGGAAAAACAGATTTTTCTTATTTTGCAACCAGTAAATTGATTGATCATTGCAGCTGCCTAACTAACTAAAAGCGTCTCCACGTTTGTGTTTTCAAGCAAAATAAAATTAACAGTTTGATTGACTGATCAGTGCATTTATATAAAAAAAAGGATGAGATCCAAAGTCATGTGACCCTGTAGTACCAGTAGGTGATGCATGAAAAATCTAGTTTAGTTTTTGTAGTTACTTGATTCCGTTTCAAGCACTGACAAAAACATTTGTTTCCTCTAATTGCTCTTGACAACCTGTCGAGATGCACCCGCAGTTGCATTTACTTGCTGGCCAAACAGCTACAGTCAGGGCGAGACAGTGAGGACAACTGTCGCGTCCATCTCAGACTCTGACAGGAGGATTATTTAAATAGCGGCTTTTTCTACCTATTAATGAAGTCGTATAGCTTTCTTCATATCGTCTTGGGCTCTGCTTCAACCTAAACTCGTCTAACTCTGGGGTGTTAGCCCTGTGTTAGAGGCTGAGGTGTGTCTCTGACTGCAAAGATCTTATTTAAGGGTATTTTTAAGAGCCAAATCTTCCTGGACTCTGGACAACAAACAGCTTGTCACCCAGAGTTCAAATCTGGCTGAAATTCTTCTGTCAGGCAGCTGCAGTGAAACTTAAAAACAACACCACCACCACCACCACACATTGACCGCAGGAGGATGGAGACAGAGGCACAAACTTCAGAGGGAGGAAGAACCCAGGTGTCTCACTGCAGCAATACAGATGTTATGAAATGAATACAAACACAATAATTACATGACCTAAAACAGTTTCCACGATGCTATAGGCAAGTTATACAATACTGCTGGGTAGGCTGCGGTTTGTCATGTGGGTTCAGTAAAGGTCAACGGGAAGTCTGGTCTGGTGTCGGTCTGTCCTCTGTCCTCGGAGTCAGCCTCAGGCCACTTTCATTGTTTTGTTCAACAGTGCTGTTGTCAGGAGCATGGGTTAGTTGTCGGCAAGGTATTTTCCTGAAACGCAGGAAAGAAAGTTTAAGCTTTCACATTAAAGTCTGAGTGGATCTTTGACAGGAAATTGGTAACTGCAGAGAAGAGCTGCAACTATAAATACATAATACAAAAATTCAATTGATACAAATATTATAATTGGCTACTACAATTAATTCCAAATTGGCAGGACATTTATTTTTTCCTCTCAAGAAGGGAGAATTCCTACATCACCAGATTTCCAATGGAGATATCAAAAGATTTACTATCATACCATAATATCAAAATAAGAACGTATTATCTACCCTTGAAGAAAGTATCCTTTACTTCAAATTTGCAATTTAACAGAGAAAACAACATTTTTAAGCAAACGTTTTAATATAAATAAAATATTAAAAACAATTCATTTTAATTGTAACTGATGAAAAATCTGACTAATATTCTTAGAAATAATTCATAATAATATTTGGCACCAAACAGTGGCAGTTATATTTCTAACTATAGGCTATCATAAGTATAATTGACGAGATAAGCATGGTAAGCTATTACAACTTCAGTGAAAGCTCATTAAAGTTGATTCACTAGTTGACATTAGTGACAATAATAATTGGTGATCAGATCAGGGGGTCACAGGTTCAAACCCCACTGCAGTCAGCATGTCGTTGTGTCCCTGGGCAAGACACTTCACCCCAAATTGCTCCTGTGGGGATTGCCCACAGTATTGAGTATGTAAGTCGCTTTGGATAAAAGCGTCTAACAAGTAACATGTAATAATAATAATTACTGTTTGTTTTGGAAAACCTTTTGAGCTCAAACGCTGTACTGACCTGCGGCAAACCTCTTCTTGATGAGAGAGAAGCGGTACCCCGGCCCGGCCAGCTCGATGTCGCAGCCCGACAGGATGCTGCCCTCGCTGGTGAACTGCACCGCCAGGGGAGCCGGTTTACTGGGGCCCTCTGTTAGCTGGAATCGCGCCAACAACGATCCCACACCTGAGGGAAGAGCACCAAAAAGTCCGAAAATTGTAAATCAGGCAGTTTGGTGAAGTTGTTGTAGCACCATTTTTAGACACAAGGGGGCATTGTTGACGTTTGGCAGAGCTGAGAACCACAATTGGGCCCCATCTCTTCCTGAGGAGTATCATGTACTACACTTTATTCCTGCAACCTGCTTAGCTGCACCAATGACTCTTAATCAGGTTCTGAGTTTAAAAAGCTGAACTTTTTTTTGCCTGTCACAACTTACATTTACACAAGCCTTTTCCTGGGGCCTTTTATTTCTGTATTTCTTTCTTTAAACACACAGGGCTACCTCCAAATACTGATGCAATCCTTTCTCTGCTGATGCAATCTGATTTGCTGGATACAAAAATAAAAACAGGAATCTCACCTCGGGCAAAAAGGCTATTTTCTCTCTATCAATATGACTAAATGCTAAATGTTATCATTCTGTACGTACCTCCGTTTTCAGATTTCTGTGAGATTTCAGGAATTTTCCAAAGGATTCTTTTCTGCTCCGCATTCCTGTCAAGGTTACAAGATGACAAAAAACACATTAAAGATTGTGAGTCATTTATATTCAAACCATTTAAAAGTTTACTTTCAACTACTTTCAAAACCTGGTGTAATTATTTCTGTGATATATACAGTTTATTATCTTACTGCATGCTGCCCGGTAATACGGTACTCAACACTATAATAAAGTTTAGGCTGTACCATGCAGCAGGGGGTAAGACAGCCTGTAGTTTTGACACCCCTCCATCGACAGGGACCAGGAACTGGACGTTGTTTAGGGCCATGGGCGTCGTCATGTTCTCCTTGTTGTATTTGTAGTCTATCCTCAGGTCAGTGCTGGCGGGCTCACATCTCCAGCTCACCGCTAGATTCAGAGGGATCGACTGCAGCCCCTCCGTTGACACCTGCACACGGAAAGCAAACATTTAGGGATACCAACTAAATGTCGCATTGTTTAGATAGTTCATTTAAGCAGCAACACAAGAAATCATTAAGCTTAGCGATATAGGTACGGTAGTCAATATATTGGGTTACATCACCTGATACTTGAGCATGTCTACGTTGTAGTATGTCGCCTGAGGCTTCTGCTCTGCCACCTTCTTTAGATGGGATATCAGGTTTGGCATGTTCACCCAGAAGTCCTTGGCATCAGCCTTGGCTTGAGTGGTGGTGTCGCTGGTGGGGAGGCATGAGGAGAATTACAATCCAAACACATTTATATGTACCGGTGATTTGTGTAACATGAAGAATTAGCTGTCTCTTTATGTGGATAATGTATGTGGCGCCTAGTGTCTTTGGTTTGACTCAAACTTAAATGTGCATTAATGACTTCGATGTTGCACTTCTTTTTCCACAATTAACCACAAGAGGGCCTTATTTACAATGGCTTTACATAGACTATTTAGCATTTAAGGTACTATAAAAGACATCTTGCTAAAAAGAGTGAAAGAAAATATTTAAAAAACAAGATGCTGTGAAATATTCTTTTTAAGGAATCATATGTAACAGCAATAGTTATTCCCCCATGAAGAAAAACATTGCTACCCATTAAATGGTGATTTTTGGTTAGCTTGTAGATGATTCATGAGTTTGAATTGTAATGCAACGGTTGAGTTTTTCTGAAAATAGGAACTTTTCACAATTCATCCCAAAGATGATCGACAAAACAAAACAACCCGATCTCTGTCCAGAGAAGTTAACTCACGATGACTCAAAGTACTGTCATCACAAGTGTCAGAAATGATCTAACGTTTACTCATCCCAGTTAACAACAACAACTCCCCCATATGAGATCATGAATATTTTAACAGATATTTTGCAGTTAAATCCATTGTTATAAATACAGAATATGTGCATAATCACATCTGAAGTTTTAAGTTAAAAACACTATTAATATATTGTTGTATATATATATATATGGTTTTCTTGCAAATTTGATCTCCTTTTTCAGTTCCCCCTATTTTAGATCTTGATATGTTAATGTACTGTATAAATGAAGTTTGTTAAGTAGGATTTGTTGTGTAAAAAAACATTAATATGATGATTATGAATAAAGCACAATGAATTGGAAAGAAATATAGCTTACTGTATGTGGAGTTTCAATATACTTATATTTACACAGTTGACCCTATCGACTCATTATTTGAAGTTGTTTTGATTACATGATGCAACATGCTCTTTGAGCCTATCTCAGATCCTCTTTGGGTGAAATCAATATGTAATACAAATTACAAAATGCAGAGTGAGTATTTGATTTGGTTTTAAACGATGGTTTGGTTAAATTATAAACAGTTTTGAAAAATTAAAACATTAGTGGGAATTCCTAAGCATTCATACTTAAACCTCACATGTGAAGAGAATGCATTAAGTGTTATGTTCACTTCTTTGGAGTTAAAAACTGTATTTATGGTGTGTTTCCGAGAGTGAGGTGGTGAGTTCACAGCGTGGTCTTTACCAGCAGAGGAGCTGGGGGTTAGGCAGCACATGCTCCAGTCGGCTGTAGTTGGTTATGCTGAAGGTTAGCACGGCGGGGGACGGGTTATTGGCAAAGTGCCGCGTGATTCCCGCCGGAAACGACAAAACCATCTCACCTATGATCTTCACAACACACCTGAGGGGCAGAGGAAGACAAGGAGTGTGTTAGAAAGAGAGGAAGAGACAGAAACTCATACACAGTAAACAATTGTTTTTTGATTCATTTGTTTTTCTTCCTTAAGTTTTAATTCTCCAAAAATGTCACAATGAAAAAAAACAATTGTTTATAGAAATTATTTTATTCCTCTCAACTTCTCAACTTGCCTCAGAGCAATTTAAACAGAAACCCTGAGCATGTGCAGTGAGGTATTAAAAAAATCCATTTATATCTGTTTAAATCTAAAGCATTGTGCGGTATGAATAGTTTCTAACTGTATAAATACTTTTTAGAAATATGAAACAGGAAGCCAATTAATTACATTATGACCAACTCAGGCATTATCATTCACTGCATAAGCAGAATTAACAAGCTCTTTTCCCGACAGCCATACACAGAAAAGGGCAGGGAAATGGCGATCTAGGTCAGAGAATCCCACTGTCCTCCCTGTCAGGATGTGCTGTAAATGTGAGCAGATATTTGTCGACCTACTTGCTTGGGTCAGCTCCTTTAAAGAAGGCGTTGACCGTCTCTGTGAACGCAGCAGCAACAGGAAGAGTGTCCTGAGCCCCCATGGTGAGAGGACTGGGCCCTCTAGAGCAGCCTGAGGGCAACACACACCCATGCACACACATGTTAAAATAGTCTGATTAAGGCAAGACACACACCCAACCATTGTTCATAATTAGCAATCCAATTCACTGAATGAGTTGCTATTTACTGTCATTATCTGGTTGTTATAGCTAAAGTCAGAGCTACATGAAAAATCTATGTATTTTAGCTTCGACACATAAACATGTATGAATAAAATACATAAGCCAACAGGGGTCAACAGATTAAGAATATATACATGTTCCAAATCTCCCAACCAGGACTCTACACTCTTCCTAACCAACAGTGTGCGGATGAAATGAAGAACAAAACACACTGTGTGCAAACTACCGGGATGAGATGACACCTTAAAAGAGTTTGAAATGAGAACAATGTTGGCGTTAGTGAGGTGGCATGAAAGCAGCAGGTTAGGTATGAAGAGGATAGCCATTTTCTCTCTGCTCTTTGACTGTGAAGTTGTAGAGTCAAACAAAATTACTTCAAATAAGTTATGATTATTTACACAGTACGTTTCACACAGACTTCTATTTGAGTGAGGTAGAAGGTAGATGAGAAAGGGAAGACAGAAGCAGACACAGAGAGAGACTGAGAGAGAGATGTGCATGCTTTTTCAAGCATGCCGTTAAAGCTAAATTATTCTGACAAGATCAAAGAAGGTCAGAGAGCCCAAAGATCAGACCAACAACCAAAAGGACAATAGTGACGACAGAGAGATTAGTAAAGTGCAGGAAGAACGATGACCTTTTTCGGAAATGAGAGGCAGTCAGCGCAGAGTAAAAAATGAGAATGAACAATGTCAGGAAGAGAAGTAAGATTGCAAGTTGACTGCATATGAGAGAGCCAGGAGTTAGCATGGCATGGGCTAGGGGTGATGAAGGGATTGCAAAGGAGGAAGAGGAAGGAGAGGGAAGGGAGGAAGGAAAGAAAGGGGCAGGGCAGGGGGCGAAGCTTGCACAAATGAGCCTCAGAAGAGTGTGTGCTGCCCTGGTGCAGAGAAAACTTACCTTCAAAGGTTAAATAAAACTTCCCTCTGTCAAACCATACAAGGGATGGCTGGTCATTCTCTGTGTGGGGTGGAGGGGTGGAGGAAGGAGGGGAGGTGGGGAGAGGAGGAGGGTGGAGGTAGAGGGATGGAAGGGAGGGTTGGGGGTGAGAGGGGGGAGAGGAGAGAAGGACAGTAGCGTGAGTTTTTACATGGTAGGTCTATCACACGTCACAGCTGAGTGAAACGTGGGGGTGGAGGCCGGGGACCACAACGAGGGGCAGAGACAGAGCATGTGACATCACGGGTGGAGGTTTTCTGTGGGTGCATGCGTGAGGGTCAGGTGGGCACTGCTGGAGGCTGGCAGTGTTACGAATAAATACAGTAAGCCTCTATCAGAGAGGAAGTCCAAGCTGTCGAAGGGGGAGGGGCAGCCAGGAGTGACAGCTTGGAGGTTGCAGGTTTCAGGAGCAGCAGAAAATTATCTCTCTTCTAGGAAGCACTCGAGTGGCACTACTTTCTTCAGATTGTTCATATTACGTTGATATATTTAGGCTTGTCTCTCTGTGTCTGACTGTGCTCACATTTACCTCCAGCCCTCTATGATTATGAAACAAATGGAAGCAGACTGTCGTGTCTAAAAACACCCTGCAGGGGGAAGCTATGAGACTGAGACCGGAGAGCAGGGAGAGAGGATCTGTGGTGCACAGGGAGAGATGCTCCGTCCCAATGACAGGGGCTGCATCCTCCAGGGGACACGGACTGTGAAGGTGAAGTCTGACCTCACAGAGACCAAAACTAGCTTCAGTTAACAGATCAGTTCAAAGGACAGATACATTGCCCAATACCATCCCACTGCAGAGTATCGGTAACTATTTGTCTGTTGGCAGATATAAGAAAAATACATTTTTGAGAGTTTAATACTAATGTCTACATTTCAAAAATGTGCCAGAATGCTCTAACATTATCATATTTGGAGCAACATTCACGAGTCATTGTGTAAATGTGTAATTTGACAAAACAGATATTTAAATGACTTCTTGCCGCTCTTAAAAATCTTTTTATTTAGTTTTTGTAAAAGCAAGCTGACGTACGGATGGATATATTTGGTATATTGTTTCTACATAGGTACATCAGTCTGACAATTTTAGGAAAAGCCTACATTCACAGAATTAAACTGCAAGACAAGCATGACTTTTCATAATCTGCATGAAAAGAATTCAGGGCCATAGGCATAACGTATTAAATATTAAAAACTGGCCTTACTGGTGTATTCAAAACTACAGTATCTCTTGTGCAAACACCATTCCAATGATACAAATGAAAGAGTGCTACAGTATACAAAGGAATGGCCATTAGCCAGTACAACATTATAATGTTTTTTAAATATAATTATGGTGGTAAACTCAGATTAGTTCCTCAATTTAGATTTGACAATGTTCAATTTAATACATATTGACACAAATGTGTATGGAAAGAAATATCTCAATATTAATATGTTCCGATCATGATGTTCTGGTTCTACAAATTCAGACTGGGGGATCCAGGCCCTGAACTGGGATTCAACTGCAGTGTGAGTGGAACTATTATGACCAGGGATTGTCTTAAAATACGGCACGATTTCCCAAATAACAAAACAAAAAACCAGGACTCTTCTAAAGTTCAATGTGAGCCTGTACCTCGTATAAGAGCAGGCTTGTTCTAGTCCATACTATTGTTTCCATGCAGGTTCCCAGCGATGAAGGTGTGTTGTTGAGTGAGTGGACTAACAGAGTTGTTAGGTGATGAGAGCAGTTTGGCACCTCACGAAGAAAACAAAAGGGCAGGTGTTCTGAGTGAGAGGGCGGGGCTTTTCAAGTTCTGTTTTTTTTTGGCTTGAGAGTGACAGGTGTGACAGGTGGGCGTCAGAGGTCGAGTGTGGGGGTACACCGAGGCTTTAGTGCTGGTGAGGATTGGGTTGAACCTGAGGCTGTGTCGTGCTACTCCAGCGGTAGAGAGGATGGTATGAATACCAAACAGCTGCTGCCTGTCTAATTCGACCTAATTCTCATGCCAGACTTCAAACGACTCTGAGAGCAGCAGCTCTGATCTGACAGTGTGTGTAAGAGTGAGTTTGAGTGTGTGTGTGTGTAAGAGTGAGTTTGAGTGTGTGTGTGTGTAAGAGAGAGAAAAACAGACAATATGGATCTCAAGGGCCCACATATAAGGAGCTCTTCAGACATGCTCACTGAACACCCAAACACTCAAACACACTCCTGTGGTGCAGACTGAGAGTGAAGGTATGTGGAAGGGTCTGCAATGCACTCTCTAGACCAGGGGTTCTCAAAGTGCGGCCCGCGGGCCAATGGCGGCCCTCGGAAATGTTTCTGGCGGCCCGCGATAGTTAATGTGACACGCTGAAATGCATGCGTTATATTTTAATCCTCCATGGTTGTATCTAGTAAGAATTAGAATGGAATTTAAGAATGGTAAAACTGCGCCCCCTGGGTTGTCATTCCTAAATTATGAATGACAGCTTGTGGAAAGTTTGCTAGACTACTGGTTGCATGGCAACTAGGCATCTCGCGAGTTGCGGTAATTGGTTAGTACAATAAAGAAAGGATTTGTTTTGGAATTATTCTGTGTTCCGTTTTTTCTTGGGCGGCCCTCAATCCAATATTGGGTACCTAAATTGGCCCTTACTCATCAAAACTTTGAGAACCCCTGTACTAGACTCACACACACAATGTGTCGCCAACAGACACAAGGTTGCCATAGTGACATGGCGAGACAGCCACTGGTGCACAGTCATAAAACAGAGAGAAACGTCTCACGAGGGGGCAGATGGGCAAGGGGAAAGACACTCAAACTTTTTTGTAAAAACAAAAACAAAAGTTATGCAACAGATGCAGCTTTTTGTGTCCCAAAAGCTTTCAGTTTTTGGCAGATATCATCATGAACTAACAAGAGAGATATAAGTGAGAATGAAAAAGAGAGAAAGAGGTTACTACTCAATGATTGGCAAATGTGTGGAAGGGTATGAGTCGGAAGAAAAATGTAGAAAAATGGTAATATCTCTGAAACGCTATCATGTTTAAACAGAACAGAATGAGCATGTGGCTTGTCCCTACATCTATGATCTAAACCTTAAGTAGACTAGTCAAATCAGTAGGTATACGGATAATGACACATAGATGCTATTTTTATAAAACTCTTCTACATCAAAACAGGCTTTATAAAACTATGCCTGTGAGAACGTGGGAAAAAGACCCAAAAAGGAGAATGTGTCAGTGTCCTTATACCGTCACCTTTTGACTGACATTAATTGAGAAGCACCAAAACACTCGGTGATAGACCTTTACCCTTCTACGTCTAAGTGCACTCTGGGTAAAGAGCATCAAACAGATTCTCCCCCAACCCGTCCCCTTTCCTCTCTCTGAGGGGATCTTTACTATACCTGCAAACGAATCAAAGTGTCTCTCAAAGGTGGGCAGTTTGTCTACATAAGCATCATCTTCTGACAAGCCAAAGGACAAATAAAGAGACGAACAAACGGCAAAACAAAATACAGAGAGAAAATCAGACCAAGTAAAAAATTACAAAATGTAGAAAATCTGAAAGGCACTGCACACAAACAATGAATTATGTAGAAAACAAACAAAAGGAATAAGCATATTAAACACAAAGAGAGGGAAATGCTAAATGAAATGAAAAAAATTACTGAAACTGTAACACAGTCAGTTTAAAACTGAAACTGTTCTGGTGACGTTTACTCCATCGAAATGTACATGAAGGGCCATAAAAGCGACTGCTGATAACTCTGAGCAGCATGTGTGTTACAGTCTGAATGTACTTAAGCTGTTTACTAATCCTTTGTCTGCCCAATCAGTTATGAAAAAAGCAACCTCCAACAAGGGACTATATTCCTTTTTATATAACTGCCTCCAGATTGTTAATTTATTTAATCTTTTATGACTCAGCCATGTTAATCTGCCCTAATTTACATCAACAACTTTGCACTGCAATGTCCTACAATCCCAAAATATAAAAGGTAGATCAATGAGTGTGAAATTGTGTTAAGCCATCGATTCCTATAATAAAGGTTTATCGAGACTTATAAACAAATTGTTACACCACCCACTCACAATGCTTTGTAATCTTATTTAAATGAATAGGATATTTTTTTTTACATTTATACCAATTTATCTCCAGATAGTAACAGCTGTCATGCATGGGTTATGCCCAGTATAACTGAATTCATCATTCAGTGGATCATAAAGGAAGGAAGCCGTCACCATTTCCAGAAGGAAAAAAATGAATAAATAAATAAATACAAAACTACACGACTCATTCCACACAAACAAGGAAGGACAGGGCCGGTGCATAAAATCAATAATGAACTTTTAATAAAAGACATGGAAGAGTTAAATTCAGCTATCATAGGCGTCAGAAGACCGCAGACAGTGACCGCTGAGGGAGCACACACCTGACACGGACACGGAGAGCTCTTTACTGACGGTGGGGGTGGTGGCGGCACTCATGGAGTTGGTGGAAGAGATGGAGGAGGTGCTCTCGGCCCGCGCCAACGGGGCGACAGGAGGGGGGCTGGCAGAGTGGACCGGCGGGCTGAATGGACGACTCTGAAGGGAGAAAAAGACCGTAGGAGAAAGACAGATTAAAATACATTTATGTTCATCTTATACATACCAAAACACTACGTCAACTAGAAGTGAACATATGATCAACTGCAACACCTACTGCATCTCCTATAGTGGGTTTCCCCGGAGGAAGTTTGGGCCGTGAAGAGGGGCGAGGTGGAGGTGGTGGGGGGGTTGGGTTGACTGACGAAGGAGTGGAAGGTCGCACCGGAGAAGAGGAACCTGCAAAACAGAGCAGAGACACATAGAGATGTATTTATAAACCCTACCGTTCTTTTTAGACGCTTTTTAGACGCTGGCGGAACCAGTGGAGTACAAATGCAAAATAAATGCTGGGTTGCCAGAACCTTTATTACACAGATTATTTGGAAATATTTCTTCATGCATACAATGTAATGAAAGAGCATAGCAAAGATACAGACTAAGTTTTTATAATATTGTTTAAGAACAGTCAACCTCCTATTTTAGCTGCCTTGAGTATCTGTTACCTCTCACAATTGACTTTTTTTCTGCAAACAGACAAAATACATTCTATATCACTTTCTTTTGAAACACTGGCCAAACTATGATAAATAATTCCCCTTGTTTTTAGATATCTTTCTCACGCAATTACGTATAATTAAAATGTACCAGAGAAAACAAGTTCTATCCTGCATAATGGACGGTTTAAATGTTCATAACATTAGTCAGCCACTCTAACAGAGTTACTGTATGTGAACAAACTCAAAAATAAATCCACCAGAGTGAAGTCCCATTAAATATGAGTAAGTCAGAATAACAACTTATGCTATGAGTTTTGAGACACAATGGTAAGAACATCCAACCTCATCAAAACATCACCTCTTTTCCGGGGATAAATACAATTGCAGATTTACTTTTAAGTTTAACAACAAAGCAATACTGCAATCAGCTCAAGGCAAACTCAAAGATGGTGTAATGCTGGTGATACAATCCCTTCTTAACACCAGTCAAAACATCTCTACCTGACTTTATTTGTAGGTATGGATGGTAATTGATAAGAATTGTCACATGGCTGATGATGACAAAGAAATTCACCATGTGTTGTCATAATTCCAGTTTTATATGTGTCCCTCAAACAAAGTTGTTAATATCTAGGTGTGATTTACTTATACAAGCTCCAAATGAACTGTCCTTCATAAACATATATTCTAGTTTGAATCATTGACTGCTCACCGCTATTCGTGCCGCCAGCTCCAGATGTGGGACCCGGTGATGAAACCACTGCTCGATATGTGGGGGGAGGAGGTGGGGGAGGCGTACTCCGACTCCCCTGGTTAGCTTCGGTGGGCGAGGGGACAGTTTCCCCTCCGTCCTCTTTGGGTTGGGTGACTTCTGTGTTCTCGGCCTGCTCCTCTTGAGACAGGACAAGTGACAGTGGGACGGAGCACGCTGCAGGCTGCTCAGTGGGAGGAGTCACGGCTGGAGGGGTGCTAGCTCTGGGAGCAGGGGCTAGTGGGACGCTGGGGGGCGAGTCCAGAGGAGGGGGAGAGGAAGCGGGAGGGGAGGCAATGTCTTTCGGCGGTGCAGGGGGTGGAGAGGTGGCGAGCGTGGGAGGAATCCTGTCTTCAGGTGTGGGAGGACCTGAGCGGACAGGAAGTGCAGCTGGCTCCTCTGTGGGAGGCGGGGAGATTGGGGGAGGGGGTACAGGTTCGTCTTTTGGGGGAAGGGATGCTGGGAGAGGTGGTGCGGGGTCTTCTGGAGGAAGTGGTGATGCCGGTAAAGGTGGGGCAGGAGATTCAGGTGGAGGCGGGGAGGCTGGTTGAGGAGGCACTGGTTCTTCTGGGAGAGGCCGCTGCTCACTTGATTCTAAACTAAAGCTGACCCACGAGTCACTCGTTTCCTCGCCAGCAGACGAAGGCTGCTCTGGTCCAAAGATGTTGTCTAAGTCCGCTATAGAGGGCTTTCTGGTGGGGGCGTCGGCTTCTGTGGACACTTCTGAAACACAGACAACCAGTGACCAATCAAAGGGTTTGTAGAGGACCTTGGCAAAGTTACACAAAAACATATAACATGACAGACAGGGAAAGGTCAAGCCAGAAATGTAAAGAGAAAGAAGCCACTGAGATGATGTTGAATGTTAGCTTTATCCTGCAGTGACAGTGTAGCCATGAAACTAACAAAGTGGTGTATTTGTTTTAATAGTAATTAGGTTTGTACTAGTTTATGTTTTTTGTAAGGGTAATGGTTTGTATAATCACAATCTTATTGTGTGATCGCAATGCGTTGGTTTGTATGGGTCACATGGATATGGGCGGCACTCATTCGGATTATAATCACCTGTTGTGTGAGGAGTGTGTGAAAGTGTCGCTGTATTTTTTTGTTGACCGCAAACACAACGATTGTTTTGGTTATTAATACAATTTCATTGTCTCCGTTTTAATATGTTGATGATCTAACTTTTTTCATTAAATAAAAAATAAATGTCACCGCATTTTGATCTCACCAATTCATTTTTGGATAGCGCGTCAGACTAGTTCAACCAGGCCCGACCTCAGCCTCTCAGCGACTTTGTCTGTTTCCTGAAGTTGCCAAAGACAGTGTGATAGCCCAGATGGCAGAAATAGATAAGAAGACCTCTTACCGGCATCATCTGCAGAGGGAGGGCCAGTTGATGGGGCGGGGGGCGGGACAATCTTGGGTGGAAGTGGAGGTGGAGCTGTAATACAAATATAAGCACAACAATGATTACTCCCGTTAACCAGTTAAGCCCCACGGGCGGGGGCAAAACAGAAGATCACTGTCTAGACATGCTTGGATGAAGTGAATTCAATATACGGTGGGCTGCATACAACGACTTATTCTTCAAATGAGAAGAAACATTCTTTAAAAAGTTGGACCCATACATGACCGGCTTTACCACACCTGAAAACAAAATCCCAATAGCATTTCACCATGCAGCACAGCACATTCATTCACCACCATGCCAAATGCAAGGAGAAGCCAGTGAGGTATGATGGGTGCAGTGTGGGAGACGGGCACTGAACTTTCCCATAATAATAAAAAAACAACTCTAAATCTATTGGTTGTGAAATGGCTGATGAAATGACCCAAGTTAGAGCTGGCAGTTTGTATGAGAATGAGAAGCAGCGTGTTATTGATCGGTCTGTGCAGCTTTGTTTGTTAGTCGGATGATGATCATGAAGTGAGCTGATGGATCTGAGCAGTCATTCCAGGGAGGAGAAGAAGAAGTGCAGCACATTACGCACGTAATTATAAAACTTACTTCCTGTAGGGAAGGATCTTGTCAAAGAGGATTCAGGCTCTGACAGAGGAATCCCCCACGCATCGGACTCAAACACACCCACTGAGTTCAGGAGGGGACAGAACAGGATGAGTCAGGGGTATTAGAGCCAAAACATTTAAAGGGATTCTAATGCTGCGAAGCTTATGAGACTTAAGTAAGAGGTGAAACAAGATCAGCATGTCAATAAAATATTTCAAAACAGATTATCAGCCTGAGGCACAAACTGTACATAGGATGTGTTGTAACAGCAGAACATCTAAAATACATTTTCATTTATAACTGAAGCAGAAAGAAGGATTGCAATTTCATGGCCATGGTGGCTTCAGCACTAAATGTGTCTCAATACATGTTTACAACCTTATTCACTAGAACTGATTCTGAAGGCTAAATTCTAAATGATATACAGAACAACATTTGCTACACATCTGTCCTAGTCTACATGTTTTGATTGATTTGTTTTCATTGACTATACTATCTTAGCCCTGCCATGCCATGAGAGCCTATTTTTTCTTCAGCCTTTTTTTACATTTAGCATTTGCCAGCAATAACAAAATAGCTTAACACCTTTTTTCTGGTCGTATAAAATCCAAAATATTGCAAGATTATACATTAATACATTGGTTTAAGCAACCTGCACCTGAGCCTTACAATTGAGTGTAAACTAATGTTTACCCCAACTAAATAATAATTTATATCACACATGCCTACACTTTATGATACTTTGAATTTAAAAACATAATCAACAAAAAAGTTAAACATTTCCAGTTGTCACACACACATATATTTATTGTCTGAACAAATGTATGAAAGGAATTTGTGTGGGGTGGATGTTGCCTGACTTGCAGTTGCATAACAGCTAAGAACTCTCTCAAAGTCTAACTCCAACTGGATTGGCTGATAGCATGACAGGTGCCAATTTCAACTTTGACCCTAATGATGACAGATTGAGTAAATCCACAACTGCTCTGTAAGTCTGAGGGAAGAACAGCAGTGTTAGAGACATTGGTGTGAGAGGGGGGCTGCTTTGACAGCTGAGCAGGGCTTTTCTGGCACTCTTGAGACAATAAATGTGTGTTCAGAAAGATATTTTCATTGTGTTGCTATCACAGTTTGACAAAACAACAACACTGGAAACAACTGTCAACACAGACATATTCTAACAACGGACACAAAGACGTAGACAGAATAAATAGACAAAGACACGGATTGACAAAAAACCATGGAGGAGGGTTACCTTCAGTTTTTGATTCTCCAAAGGCTGTATCCAAGGGAGGCCCAAATAAGGCTGTGGTGTCTTCAGAGAACGGTGTCTGTTGACTGCTGCAACACACACATGACATTAGGAGAGCAATTATTGTAAAGAAGGACATTTTAGGAATGAGCAGCAAGCTTACGTGATCTGATCATGGTACAGGTAGAAAGCATTTTAACACATCAGTATCCCCATATACACCTTTTTAAATCTGCTGAATTTGATCTTGCTTTCACAAATGTATTATGTCTTCATTTGGACAATTCTTAACATGTGGAACCATAAACTACAGCTATTGCAAAAGTTCACCTTCAATATTTACTACAATTACAAATCATTTTCAGTAGTTATTACAGGTTCATTGTAAGGGCTGTGCTGTGACAAAACCATGCAGTGTAGAGTAGAACAATGTTCTGTAGTAATGTAGAGTGATACAGGAGGAATATCTAAACATGCAGCTGGACCATGGCTAACGGCACTCGACAGACAACAGCCTCATGTGGACAGTAAAGTCTGGCATCAAACAAACCACAGAAACACATGTAGAGGAAGACTATGATCACCACCATGAACACAAACAGTTATACTAGAAGAACATGCGCGTATGTCCCCGCAGCACACAAAGCAGCAGTGTTGTTTGGTAGATAAACACAGTGACAGTTCTGCGGATGCACTGAAGCCTCAAGAGGGCCTCCGACAAAACAAACAATGTTTGTCCCAGACATCTTATATGTTTGTGGGAAGGCAAAGGTTTGGCGAAATCTAAAACAAAATCGGGGTGTGTTTTTATGCCATTATGTTAGAACTAACGCATAAGATAATCTCTCGGCCTTTAGTTAAGAAAAGAGTATTACCTAATGTTGTTCCCTTCTTTCTATGGTAGCATGAATTTTCTATTATGAACTTTTTTCGTTAAAACTAAAGTAACTCCACATCCCAGCTAGGGTTCCTGATCAATGAAGCTATATGGCTTCAACATATAAGCCTTTATCCATATCCAGAATGTTTCAGTGATACAACAAAGGAGATGACATTGTCAGTGGATGACATCTTAAGCATTTCAAAACTGAAAAGTGTCATGGTCCGCTGTGACTTAAATACCCAGTTCACATTAACAGGATGTATCATTGCTGGGTGGACTGACCAAACTCCCAAAAAGCACAATGATACTTGATGGGGACATTTGAGAGGCGACACTGTTGTGTGCTACATGTAATATATTTGTAATGAAGACAAATAAATGATGACATGACATATAACTACTGTAACCTGCCAGGAATATCCCCACTAACATCACCTCCATTAGCTTGTACACTGCAGATATACTGCACATCTTTACAATAAAGGTTAATCTTTGAACAGAGCAGTACAAATGAAGCCGGGTTAATCTGTGAATTTAGCACAGTTTTTTATATTCTTAAAAAATAGGTAAGATTAATAGGTACCTCATACAACCCCTTTTCACAAATAATAAATGAAATAGGTGTCTGTTGTCAGAGAAGAGTGAGGGTCATACCTGGGGGGTTGTGGTGCTGGAGCTGGTGTTGGGGCCACAGTGGGTAGTGTTGGGGCCACAGTGGGTAAAGTTGGGATGATGCGCCTCGGTCTGGCAATCTCTTCTCCTGGAACTACAATTAAATATGTTTACCACATGTGTTCTCGATCACATTCTCTGTAATTCACCATATTTAAATATGTACGTGTCCTAAGGTGCAACAAGATTGATACTCACTGGATGTGTTCCTTTTCAAACCCTGAAACATGAACAAATTACAGTAAAATGTAAAAAACAAAGACACAAAATAGCAACAGTCACGCACAAGTACAACGTTGTAATAATTCCAACAATATAACTGTCTTTAATGTAACTACAGTAGAATCAGTATCCTACATAGCCCCATTTAAGCAAAGAACACCGCAAAATTCACAGAAAACATAACATGTAGTTGAATGGCAGATCAAAGACACATTTATTTTGATATAAAAAGCCACATAGGTTTTAAAAGAACATTGATGTAGGTTCTAGAGTGTTGAAGGTCAGAGAGGGAACTACAGCCTCAGGTTGACTTAATCTGATGAGACTACCTGACCAGCTACATGCTACACAGGCATTACTAATACACACACACACACAGGAAACTGGTATAGGAAGGGTTGTTCTAAAGGAATAACTTTTTAGGCAGCAGAGAAATAAGAAGAAATAAAGGGTACAATAAAGGTTATCGTCTTGACACAAAAAACAGGGACACTGCAGGCCGACATGCTTTATAAAGTGATTATTTGAACACTGTATATTCAGTGAAATATGGCACAGCGAGTGCTTACAAATCACATCAGCAGCTAACTTACATCATATGGAACAGGAAAGATATCTATTAGCTATAAGAGATGCAGTTTAAATGACAGAGACCAAGGTATTCCAGTAATAATAACATTGTTACATTAGAAAATGGCAACTGCTGCTTGCAGTGAGCCAACTGCGCTGTAAGCAGTGATTTGAGTTGTCAGAGCCAACAATAAATATTGGAAAGCTTTCAAAACATGCTTTGAAGTCTTAAAAAGACACCCCTGGTACTAGAGAAGGTGTGAGCCTGATAAAGTTCAAATGTGAGAAAGTAAAAAAAGGAACGAGTTCTGTTGTTGGAGAGGCAACAGCACCATCATATTGCCTCTCCAGCTGAGATCTTAAACACCCTCGTCTTTAGATTTGTATGAATTCACCATGTGAGGAACACAAGAGGCCAAGAAAGGCAGATTGCAGATAAGAGCAGAGAGGAGGAGAGACAGCAGCAGATGAGAGAAGAAGACACGACGATGGGGAGTGACTGAAGTAAGACATCAAAGGGTCCAACTGTCAAAAGTGCAAATGTTCTCCCACTACAGAGACCTCGCAAGAAACCATTCAAGATCAAAACAAGGACACTACTGATCTTGAGAATCTAGGAGTATTTATTTGTTGGTGTAAATATTTATTTATTTATACCTTTAAATATTAATGTCAAAACAAATTAGTTGACAGTTTTGACCCACGCCTCAGCCACTGAACCCATCAACGAATGTCCTGTCTTATTTAATCGAATCTAAGAACAGGGTGAGGAGCAGAAGTGTACGGGAAGTATGTGACATTATTTGTACCTAACCCCAGGGAGCGGAGGAAAAGGACACTTACCGGGCTACGTCTCTGTGACCAGCAAAAAGGAAGAGAGAAGAGACACCTGGTCAGAGAGTGACAAATCAGTAAAGCACACATCATATATATGACGAAAAGAATAGGGGCCTGGTCGCTCAGATTGGGGGATAAGATGCAGAATTACAGAATCATCTTATTGCAGCAGAACTGAACTGTTTGGTAATCGGGTTAAGACCTGATCCTTACTTCCCAAAATCTTAAATAACCTCTCTCCTACTTCCACTTTTTTCCCAGGTAGTGTTTCACCATGATAATGTTTTTCACTTTTTTTTTTAAATATCCCCTTACAAAGGATCTTTGTATTTCTTTGCAGATGTTCTCAACACCTCCCACTCATCTGTCTTGAAGTTAAGTGCTATTTATTGTATTTGCTGCATTTTGTTTTGTTCCAATGAGAAATACAAACAAATACAAAGTTGTTTAGCTAGAAAAGAAGCGTTACAGTAGGTGTTAATGTAGGGTAACATACAGAACAGATGATGAGCCATGTTGGATTGAGTATTTAAGATGTTCCAACATGAAATAAAGCAAGTTATGAATTGCTTATTTAATACCAAATTGGGAAAAATGATACCTCAGACCATCTTAACTTAAAACTTAAGATAGGAGGTGTCTGTAATCGCCGCAGGACGATAACATGTGTGAGCATAAATGCAGGTAGTTAAATAAGTCCTGGATAATAAAGGTATAAAGAATAGCCAAGTATGAACTTAAACTGATCTGTGTGTTTGTGTTTATGCTGTCATATTTTTTGTCTGTTTATGGTTAGAAAAAACAAAGGGTAAATAAGATTCAAGGCCTTCAGATAAATTGTGGTTTTTGCCTGAATTTTCAATGTCATCTGTGAACCTGCTGTTACTGAATATTATCCAAATACTCTCTAATTTATATCTCATCCTTATTCCTTTTTATGATCATTTTTTTGTTTAAACCAATGTAATTTTTGCCGTTTAATCCTTTTAAGTTTCTTTTCATTTTCTCTTCTCTCCCATCTGCCCCTCTTTGGTCTCTTTGATTGAAATCTCTCCATCTGCCTGCGTCGCATCCACCCTCTCTCCCCTCCATCTCTTACTCTTGTGCTTGTTCCAGTTGTGCAGTGAGCCATGAGTGATTAAAGTGATGCAACAAAGGGGTGGGACTAGCTGGTGGAAGGGATTCAATTCATTGGGTAAACTGGTGCAGGACACTGCGCAACTCTGTTCGTCATAACCAATCATCATCTCCCTGCCGTAAGTAAACAGGAAGAACAACAGGAAGTGTTCAGAGTTAAACACAGTGACCTTTGAGCCCGCCAGGGAATCACATTGGTCTCTGCACACAGATAGTTGTTTACAAATGTGTGATATATTTGAAATCATAAAAGCATATTATTTGTCCTGGTTATTTAAAAAAAAAAAAAAAACATATATATATATTGCATCTCTGTTTTTGGTGCTGGAGATATAACACATTTTGTAACTGATGCAGGTCATATCTGAACAGTGTAGTCTTGGCTGTAAAGTGACCGACCTCACCTAAGGGGAATCTTTGTAGAAACATAGAGCAGGCTACAGCAATGGCACATATTATACAATATGACAAATTCATTATAAAATAGGATGTTTGTCCTCAAGCTCAAGCCTTTGTTGTTAAAATGCCGGCACAAAACATCTTAGTCAGTGGAAAAAACATTGCTCGAGGCAAAACAAATCAACACGTGCCATGAGAATGCTGAGTAGTCAAACACATGCACATGCATTAATGTGCATATAAATAACACTACATTGACACACTCACACCAATAATAAAGCCTTAAGTTATTACTAACTGGTCCTTTGTAAATCTATTTTTGGCAACACACATTAGGGTTCATGAGCAAAAACTCAACATAGTAGAATCTATCAACAAGAAAAACACACACACACAACAGCATGCAAGGCAAAATGCTTACCGGACTCTTCTACAAAGGTTTGCATTATTAGAAGCAGCAAAAGAATGAGAAATAAAAGAGAAATACAAAAAAGGGAGGGCATTCAGAAAGTAGACAGCCATCAACATAAACTGCAATCATTAATACAGACAGATGAATCTGGCGTAGTAGTATGTACTCATCACACCACCTACACATTCCCCAGTATTCCTCATACCATGATGTGAACAGCAAATCCTGGCCTAGGTTTGCTGTGAAATAAGCTGTTAACCTGCATCAGCATGTCCCTCTTACAAGCCTGTGTATATATGCATAATTCATGCAGAATATGCAAAAATATTTCCATATAAACTAAGCTCATTCAGTCCAATAAATAGAAAACTAAGTTTCTAGATATGTCCAAAACCTCAAATCTGTCTGCTTGTCATTTTTGATATATTGATACATGCAGAAACCCAACGTCAAGAGGGAATCTTAATGATATTCAAATGGGCTGTTTTGAAATGTAGGTCTTACTTTGAAAATAACAGCCAAGACCTAAATGTTTCAGTCTGGGATAAAAGTTCTCCTGGATCACTTAAAGGAAAAGGAAGTAAAAGGAAACAAGCAGAAAGAAGCAGTTTGCTTTTAGAGGCCTGTTTACATTTGGCCTGTCTTCCTCTTTTCATTGGGACATTTTATTGTCCGTCCATAGCCAAGGTAACGCAAAGTAGCCAGGGACTCCGAGTGACTGAGTGACTTGTGTAATGTATGCATGAGGGTAAAGCTCTGCTCTGGCAAACGTGATGCTAATTTGAACTGGTCGAGGTGAATAAAGGTAATTGTGTAATCACGACTACAGGCCAGTCATTTTAATGTCCTGAGTTTGGTAAATATTCAGGTGACTACATTAGATTATTTTTAACTGATTGTTTCAGATGTCAAAAGAAAAAAGCAGCAGATTTTTAAAATAAGAAAACTGCAACCATCAAACATTGAATTATTAGTTCACTTGTTTCAAATTTTAAGGATGAATCCATGATGAGAGTTATTCTTAATGATTTAATGTTCATCGATCGACCGATCACAAACTACTCAACATGGCCAAAACCACTAATGTCTCCAATGTATTACGCACATGAACGCAAACACTACCAGCATGGAACATCCTTCACACCTGATCAGGTTAACGGAGCCAGTGGGTGAACACACAGAAGCTGGATTAAATTATTGAGTCTAGAAGATCAAATGACCACAAGCCATCTCACTGTACAGCAGACTGACACACAGGTCCATTGTGCCCACTTTCCTACCTGAATTATTCAAGACGGACACTCAAGCTAACTGTCCTCACTGAAGAAGAAAGGAATTGTGGGTAAGTGAGGGAGGCCAAACCCTGTTTTGGAGTCCTAATGCTGATAACAGACAATTTGAAGGAGATGTGTGCTTTGATGTGGACTCAATAACTGAGCTGCAACACTAAACGGACTACACAAGACAACACAGCTCAAATATCAGAAGCCCCAAAAATGGGCTGTATGGGTTTTAGTGTGGAACTAAAACTATCATATCAAACAGCTGAACTGACTCAAAAATACAGGGAGATGGATTGGTAATCAGTCTAAGGCTCAAACCAGACATACATAATGACATATTGTTGCATAGTGGCTTATTATAACCAAGGAGTTGTGTTGTCATAAAAAAGGCCCAACAAAACAATAAATTAAGCAAAACAAAACAGTCGGATAAAGTAGAATACAAATGTACAAAAGGAGGTTTAGCTCAGCAGAAACTAGAAAGACATGCACTGAAAAATCTTTACAAACAAAATATATCATGATATAATGCAGTTAAAGGAAGAAGAAGCAAAAGTGATTAGCACATGCACTTAACATCCATCTTAACACAGGCGTGTGTTAATATGATATCACCCCAATTCTGGCTTCATTGCACTGGCTTCCAGTTCGGTTCAGAATAGATTTTAAACTCCTTTTATTTGTCTTTAAAGCCCTAAATGGGCTGGCTCCTGCCTATATAGCCGAACTCCTCCATCGCTACACTCCAGGCAGAGCCTTAAGGTCGGCTGATCAGCTGCTGTTGATAGTGCCTAAGACCAGGCTTAAAACCCGAGGGCATCAAGCTTTTGCAGCGGCTGGCCCTAGGCTCTGGAATACTTTGCCCCTCCATGTGAGGTCGGCCCAGACCCTGTTTTATTTTTTAAATCAACACTTAAAACTCACTTTTTCTCTCTGGCTTTTGTTTAATTATCCATTTAGTTCTTTATTTTAAAATGTATAACATAACATAGGATTTCATAAAGTATTTTTAAAATAGTTTATACATTATTCGAATATAGGAATAAGATAGGATTATTTAAAATATAGTGCCTTATATTTCATATTTTCTCCCTTTAGACCCTTGCGGTTTATTCTTAAAAACCCTTACCCTTACCCACCCCTCATTTTCCCTCTGCTGGTCTATGGCCTTGTAGAGGGTAACGGGGTACAGAGTCGCTTAGATAAGCGGGGGAGTGCATCTGACGAAGAGATAGGTTGTTGTGCTCCCTCTCTCTGTTTCTTATCCTATATCTAATAGAACTGCTCGAGTCTTGATAGATTGAGTGGGGAAGTTCAGGAGATCTTTCTAGAGGGTTATCAAGAATAACTTTTATCCAATGACCTTCTCCCTCTCTGTCTGTGTCTGTGTATTCTCTTGTTCCGATTAACCCAGCCAAATCTTTTTTCTTGTTTTGTATCTATATCTACGTCGGGATCCGGAGTCGAGGCTGATCCTCTTGCTGTAGTCCTGTGTCTGGGATCCTCTATCCTGAGTTCTGGATTAAGTCGTGGACTTCGGGTCGTGGCTGAACCTGTCTCTGCGGTCCTGCCTTGGGTCTCGTCATGCTGCTTCCCTGATGGCTTCCACAGGATTGTAGCTGACATCGTGGATTCATCTTCTTATTACGGACACATGCATTTCCTAAACATTCGGTCTATATGCTGTAAAATGTAATATTTCTTCGATTTACACACGGCATCTATTGCACGTCTGTCCGTCCTGGGAGAGGGATCCCTCCTCTGTTGCTCTCCCTGAGGTTTCTCCCATTTTTTCCCCTTAAACTGTAGGTTTTCTCTGGAAGTTTTTCCTTGTACGATGTGAGGGTCTAAGGATAGAGGGTGTCGTTTTTCTCATACTGATATTCTGAACAATCTGTGCTGTTGTATTTGCTGTAAAGTGTCTCTACTGTAGGCTATTTTTATTTTATCTACAGCACTTTGGCTCAACCAAAAATCGTTTATAAATGTGCAATATAAATAAAACTTGATTTGATTTAATGAAAGCCAGCAGTGAGGTCAGAGCTACTCACCATAGGAGACGGGGACAGGGCGATGTTGCCTATGGAAGCTTTGAGCTCGTCGACCGAGGGCACCGCCGCGACATGATTTGACGGCAGCGGCTTGATCTTGATTTTGAATTTTTTCCTGTGGTCCTCCTCTCCTTCCGACTCATCAGAGGAAAAGAAGTGTGTCTTTTTGGTGGTGGGCGGTGGTGCAGAGTCAAGGAAAAAGCAAAGTTCCCTACCTTAAAACTGTCCAGGATTTACATGACCCAAATCACAATTTAATTGATATGTTTTTGTAATTTAACTTTGTTTACTTTCACGTTAGTATTCCATATTCCTAATCATTGTCCATACCGTATTTTAATGTTTAAATTATTGTCCTCCTGCTACAGAAACAAAAACAACCTCTTTGCAATTCTAGACACAAATACAAATATTGACTTCATTTTGGTGCCCACAGGCTGATAGTGTCTCTAAATCAAATACAATTTTCAACCCACTGAGGAGCTAATTGCAAAGTGATGAATACAGTATTGCCAGCATAACAAACAGAGCATCACCTCTGCTCAATATAAGTTGGCAGGCTGGTTAATCAGTGCATTGATCAGAGTGATATGTCCATGCTTCAGACAGGGGGTATGAGGCTTTTCTCAAACACTAATCTATGACTTCCTGTTGGAGTCTGATACACCAATGATTCATTGTAACAGTGTTACATGCTGCTCCTTCTAACTGATCTAGATCTTTGTTAATTCAATGTTTTTAAGCTTTGATAAGGACTCAAAACACATCCTCATCACTCTATTTCAAGTTGTTTTTTGACTTTGGAGATCCCTGTGAAACACAAGGAAATTATTTTTTAGATGCGACTCCACTGATTTGGAAACTCCAGCAGAATAGAGAGGCGAAGTCCCTCCCCTTCCGGGGGACCTCCATGGGACCTTATTTCGGAAAAAGTATGTATTGAAGTCAATGGAGAGAGAAATATTATCTTTTGATCCCGTTTGAATTGTGCCACAAATTACACATATGATGTTTGTCAATTTAAAAGATAATTTTGCAAGTCAAAAAAAATTAAAATGTGTTGTAACACTTTTTTTGTGTGAAACGCTCAATGAACTACATCTCCCGTCTCGCACCACACACCAAGACGGCCGTCACGTTAGCACATTTAACTTCTTTCTTTCAGAATGAGGCGGAAAGTATTAAAAGAGGTGAAAATCACCACAAGTCTGGGCATGTTGAGAGCTATTTTTCATAGTCTTATATTTCAACAGTTTTAAGACAAACTGTGACTTTTTTGACATGGAAATTGTTTTTTAAGATTGACAAACATCATATGTGTAATTCATGGCACAATTCAAACGGGATCGAAAGATACGTTTTCTCTCTCCATTGACTTCAATACATAATTTTTCCGAAATAAGGTCCCATGGGGCGGAAGTAGATGGACGTGACTTCGCCTCTCTATCGGAGAGAATGAGATTTACTACGCAAACTGATGTCAGTAGACTTAGTTCACAAATCCCGTACTAACAATGGAAGCGACCCACTTTTGTGACCCAACATAGCTTGGCTAGAAAATTAGACAAATTGACAAATGAAGCAGTGCAGAGGATATCTCCCTCTTCGGACTCCTCCTCAGGTCTGAGGCTGTAGCCTTCGTCGTCCACCTCAGGAGAGTTCTGGAACACAAAGTATAAATCTCTTTAGATGTTTGTTGGATGTTTTGAGTTACACGCTGCAATGAATTTAGTTGTATGCCGATAAAATACTAACAGACAAATAGCAGTTGGTTCAAGGAGTAACACAAGTTAATTAGGCATGAAACATGACCAAGTGCATATTGATAATGTCATAATCTCTAGCTAAAATCCATGTGAGAATAGATCAAACATTCAACCAGATATACAGTGCTACAGTATGTGGAACTACTTTTAAACATGCTTTGTCCACATTTAGTCAATAACACATTTTACAATAATATGGATAAACACTGTAAGGTCAATCAATGCAGATGAAAACAAAGCAGCAGTTGTGGAAACCAAGCTAAAAAGCTGTTTAGAATTACCATAAAATAATTGTCCTATTACTTACATATCTTTCCCAGTCAATATCTTCGTAGAAGCCATTAAGGGCCCCGTTAGCCTTTTTCTGAGACTGAGAGGAGAGAGAAACTTTGATTAAAACCCCAGCAGACAGAGAAGGTACAGTATATTCTGTGCCATAACTGGATGTGTGTCTTTGTTAGCTACTATTTAAGGAAACTACGGCGTAGCTAATACCGGCCTATAAACCCTGATCCTGTGTACTCTGGCTGTCATGTGAGACTGTTCCACAGTCGTCCTCTCACAGACCCTAATTTGTTCCCCGTTTCATCAGGCTGGTCACTAATGACCTAATAATGGCGATGATTAGTGTTATTATCCAACATGATGCAAATTGTCCAACAGTGCTGGATAATATTTCAGGACGTTGGTCTTTTCAAGCTTCACCAAAGGGCTCTTTAGTTTGGTGCATTTTTTGCTAATAAAAAGATAGTCAAAACAGCAACACTGAACGACACTTGAGTTTAAGAACGTACACTGATGCCTATAACCAGCCTAATCTCTAAACTCTAGTCTAGACTTAACTAGAAATTCATCTAATTAAAAAGGACTAGGGACTAGGGTTCAGTACCGATTCAACTTCCTGGGGTTCCTGGCAAGTATAAAGAACACAGAAAATAAAATGAACCTCACAATTAGCAGACTTGATTTCCTCCAGTAATATTCATGTCGAATTAAAGTTTACAAATATATGAATTGGCTGATATGTATTGCATTTGTTCTGTTACTTACGCCGCTGTCTCTGTCTGGGGACCCCCTGTGAGAGTTTAAAGAACCAGAGAGATGAAAGGAGAGCATGAAAGTCACTTCCCATATGAGCTCTTCATTTGAAAATCAAGTGCTTTGCCACAGTAATTAGTCAAGCCAAAATATTTGAAAAGCAGTATTCAATGAAAACCTTTTCACGCCACTTTACCCACACGCTAATTCACTCAAATGTCACAGCACACAAACATTTAGCAGCATGACATGTACGGCTTAAAAAACACCCCTGTAAAATGATCTTTGTTACAGAGGTTTTGCAAGCTCACTACAGTATGTGCTTTTTCCAACTGTTCAAAGCCTTATTTCAATCCTGCTTTATTTATATAATTTTTAACGAATCAGCCATGATATGTATAGTAAATATTTCAGCCAAGTGTAAAGAAGCAATTTCACAAGCAGTGTATATTTAAGGTATGCCTATTATTCTGTAAATCAATAATACCATATTCCACATAAGATCAATACTGGGAATTTACAGATTGATTAATACAATACAAAATCCACTGTAGCTCATAATTGACAGGTATACTCTGAAACTGTGCCTGTTCAATGGAAGCAGCCGTCTAACATTCATTTGACAAGACCTATACTTAATACTAATCCTGTAATGGCTCTTACGTATTTTCATTTCATCATTTCATTCTGCTGTAATGTACAGTATATGGACACTACTCAAATTCAGAGGTTTAAGCCAGCTCCACAGAACAGCCCCACTGTGAATACTTTCAACAGTCGAAGGACTAATGTGCTCTGTGTTCATACAGTGAAGGACTTACGTGGAGTCATTGTCCTTCTCTTTCTTCCGTATCCCAAAGGCCTTCCTGGTACGTTTTTTCAATCCTGAGAAAAAACAAGAGAAAAAAGGCGAATTAGAGACAGCAAGGGTATGACTAAAAGGTGGTGTATGTAGGTTGGTTAAAGGGTAGGTGGTGTCAGCTGCGCCTCATCTATCATCCAGGAGATTAAAGAGGACGTTTTTATGTATTATTGAGTGACTGGCTGCATCGCTGTCAAGGCAAACACTGTCTTTCAGAACTAAAAATGGGTTCACGGTAAACCCAGATGGACAGACAGCCTTGCAATTCTCAGGAATGAAATATCCAAAATGCCAAAATCAATGTGCTAAGAATTGAACAACACTTCAGGAGCTATGGTGCACACATCTGTTGTAGGACACACAGCTGTAAATATACAAAACTTCAATCAATAATGCCAACAAAAGTGGGAGACGTCATTGACACGTAACTACTCGGCGGATAATTTCACTAATGGAGCTCACTGACTGAAAGTACCGATAATGACTGTGTTGTTGAGCAACAAGTGAGAGAGGTAGGTTAAGAAACGGTTTAGAAGATTTAAGGAATAAAGTCTTGAATGCAAATTCTGGACTTTAAAAAAGGCAATTAATTGTATTCTGTAAGGAAATGGATGGTATGAACATCCAAAACTATTTGTGTAGAAACAACCTTACAAATAAAAAAAATAAAAAATTCTCTTCTCCTTATTTTACACTCCATTTTCTATCAGTGAAAGATTTGCAGATTTTGTGTGTTTGTTCTAGCTTTTGGCATCATCTTTCTTATCGTTTTGCTGCACTGTCATGGATGTACTGAAGTGATAACAGAAGTTTACAGCAAATATTTAAAAAAAAATAAGTTAAGATGGAGCTATTGATCCCTGTAGGGAAATCCCCCCAAATACCATTGTTTTGAACTGGAGCAATGCATTTTAGTACTATAGTACTATTAAATGCTGTGGTCTGATCCCACTCCTTTCATTCACACAGTAAGTGTGGTTATACGTCTATAGCTTCATGTTTAAAAAAGAAATACTCAATCATGTACTATTTCATTCAAAGGAGTTCAATCACAATACAAATCTAGTTTATTCCAGCTTCACTACATTAATTTTATGAATTGTACTGTACACATATGTCAAACAACAATTTTTTAAATGCTCCAGCTTATTCTTACCCAAGATGAAAGCCCAGTTGTCCCCCTCCATTTTTATCTAAGAATACCTCGACTCTCATTCTTCCTCGCCTGGTTGTGAACTCATCACATCATCTCATGAACAACCTAGCTCCTCCTTACACCACAGACAAGTTCACACTGAGCCTTAGAGCAGGAACCTGATGCTCTCACTAACACGCTAACACGCTAACACGCTAACACACACACACACACACACACACACACACACACACACACACACACACACACACACACACACACACACACACACACACACACACACACACACACACACACACACACACACACACACACACACACACACACACACACACACACACACACACACACACACACACACACACACACACACACACACACACACACACACACACACACACCACACACACACACACACACACACACACACACACACACACACACACACACACACACACACACACACACACACACACACACGATCCTGTTCTTGATCTGTGTCTGGTACTCAAATTCAACGGCAGAGACTTCACTCATAAATAAAAGACAAATGTCATAATTTATTTCATTTGATGCAATTTTTTTACTACTCAAATATTTTCACGGTGTTTTCCACCTTGCTTGCACACGACCATTGTGAACAACATCTCCAACTTTAGAGAAAAATAACATTACATAAACATACATAAATATAGAACGACGGCACATTCCCAAAATACAGGCTTGTCCCTGCACAAAGATATGCACACACGTCCTCTCAGAGCATACGGGGACACATGCACTCACCTCAAGAAAAAAGCCTGATGAATATTTATGGGAGAAGATCAGGTGTTTGGAAACATCATCTGCTTTATATCAGCAACCAAAGTTATCCGAGCCATTCAATACATGCCAAAGAGCAATACCTTCCAGTATTTGCGTGAGGAAAAAACGTATTTATGGAGATTGCTGGAACTGTCATACAGTTTGTGTGGGTCTGAGTATGTGTTGTTTGGACATTCTGTTGTATATTACAGAAACAAAGAAATGTGCACACAGACAGACACCTCTTCATAACTGAGACCAAGTGTTGTGCCTCAAACTAATGAAGGACTCATTCCTGTAAGGCCAGACTAAAGATTGTCTTCTTTTATTCTATGGTTTGACGGCTTCCCTCTCTCTGATCCTGGTGAGGCATCTATCTGAGGTCGCTGTTAGAGGATACTGTGTGCTCTCTCTCAGGCTGTAGCGTAGTAGAGAATGGGAGCTTTAATTTTTCCTTCAACAGCTGTTCTGCAAAGCCAACAATGTATAACACATTAGTTTAAGTTTATATCGTTGTTTTTTTCACTTAAGTTTATTAATGATAATGATAGGGTTGACTAATGACTAATGATAATCATCAACGGCACAGCAGTGAAGACTACAGACAGCACCAAGTTCCTGGGGGTGCATATCACAAGCAGTCTGACCTGGTCCACTCACACTACATCACTATTTAAGAAGGCACAGCAGCGCCTACACTTCCTGCGCAGGTTGAGAAGAGCACAGCTCTTCCCTCCCATCCTCACCACGTTCTACAGAGGAACCATAGAGAGCGTGCTGACCAGCGGCATCTCCATCTGGTCGAGAGACTGCAACGCCAAAGACTGGAAGTCTCTGCAGAGAGTGGTCAGGACAGCAGAGAAGATCATCGGAGTTTCTCTCCCTCCCATCAGAGACACCGCTCAGAAACGCTCCCTGACAAAAGCCCAGAACATTTTGAAAGACCCCACTCATCCTCACCATGCTCTGTTCTCCCTGCTGCACTCCGGCAAGAGGTTCTGCAGCATTAAGAGCAGAACAGCCAGATTCTGTAATAGCGTTTTCCCCCAAGCCATCAGACTGCTGAACAGCAAGTAGACCAGTAACATAAAGATTACATTACGCTGTGTAAAGCGCACATATTTTCTATATAGTATGTCTATTTTATTTATATGTATAGTAAGTCTTTATATTTTAAACACACACTTTATCTTTAATTTTATCAGCACCACGTCACTATTATTTATTTATATGTACAATTTTAGCAAGTTTTTATATTGTCCTGTTCCTGTAAGCCAGTACAACGAAATTTCGTTTTAATAGTACACTCTGTGTCTTGTTGAAATGACAATAAAGTATGTCTAAGTCTTAATTTATAATGATGCCACTGAAAAGCCCAACATTTTAAATGTCTTCACACTGACATGATGTTTCAGATTTAAATTGATGTCTTTCTAGATTTCTTGCCTCTCTGTTGCCCTCTTTTCCACTTTAGGAATAATTCCCTCTCCTGTAAATCGCCCCCAGTCAAGAGCTGCCAGGTTTACAGCTGTGTTAATGAAAGAGTATTTTCTTTGAACGGGACGGGGTGCACATGGCAGCTGTACCCTGGCTACAGCATCCTGCTGGGATGGGATTAAATTAATTAATCCATGGGATTAAAATCTGCATAATTATTTCACTTTTAACTTGTTTTATTGTTTGTTTCTCTTGTCTTGTGGGTCCATTGAGTATCGTTTAACTTAATGGCACTGAAACACTTGATAGACTGCTTAAAGATAGAAAAAAAACAGGCCTAGGTGCAGCAATTGACAAGAGCTCTTTTCCTGCATATCTGTCCTTAAGGTGCCCTTTCATAAAGTGTACATCTTTTTTTCATTTTCTTCTGTTCTATTTGGCTATGCAGTTTGGCATAACTAAAACTAATGAAACACATAAGGTAACCTTAATCTTCAGATCATTCAAAGGTCTAATGTTGCAGTCTCTCTGTATACAAACATTTCAAACACAGAACAAGACCATAGCAGAAATGGAATCCATTCATGAGCTAACTGACCAGCGTAATTAAAAAATTAGGCAATAAATGACCATCCCAATTTTAGAGAGCAGCAGGATCTAAATCTGATTGGATGACATTGACGTGAAAGAATACATGAGTCCGTATGGCTAGTGTTAATTAACGTGAAATAACACAGTGTGCCACACACACAGCTTTAATGACTTAATGGCTTCCGTTCAGAGAGATGCTAGCACAAGTGCTAACATAATTAGTGGTCTCTTCTCAAGACACAGTAATGTAATTGTAGGGAAAGCCAAAGGACATAAAGCCAAGCAGGAAAGGACACTGCCAAAACAAAACAACAGCAACGGTACACTGACCAACACATTCAGACATTTTGCTTCCAAGACACATACATGTCCAGTTTTTCTTTCTGTGGGACTACATTTCTAGAGCTTTATTTTCAACATTTTGTTTATCTGGTCTCTGAAAATAATGTATAATGTAAGGTTGAGAATAATCTCAAAAGTGTGGAAAGCTAACTTTGGAAAGGGTCCCACGAAGTGAAAACAAACTCACAAGAGGAGGAACATCGCTCACAGCAGCAGTGTGTTATTATCATAACTGTGAGGTCCACCCTTCGACCTACAGGAAGAGGTTAGGTCTAACACTGGCTTTAATCAAATATACCATCTTGAAACAGCAATTATACCTCTTTCCCATTATTCATTTGGAGTGCATGTGCACGTGCACGTGCACGTGCACAAGAGCTTGTTTCAAGCCTGACATAAGAATCAACTTAGAAAGGACATCAAAGATTTGAAAGCTACCAAAATTGTAAATCTACACCAGTTTTGGTTAAAATTCTGACATGTAATTAAATATTAATTTAGATAAGAGAGCATTTTACGTCCTTTTTTAAACATGAAAACTGAAAACATTTTCTAAATCTAATTTAGTGCCTGAATAATTTACATTTCCCATGGATGGAAAAAAAATGTTAGTGGTTATATTCCTGTGTAGTATGCATGTCAGAGCATGCTCAGGAGGGAGAACAACTTGTTCACGAGCCGGTGCGTTGTTGC